ATTTGAGCAAGTACATAACCAGCCAGTGTTCAAAACTATCGCCTTACTTTAGCCCGATTCACAAAGGTTAGCTTATAATGTTTTCTAATTTGAGTGGTACGGGTAGGTTTTCGCGGGAAATTCGAGCATGGCGCTGCGTCATTACGTCACGTCTGTAAACATAAAGAAGTTGTCCCGGATACTAGGCTATCGCATGTGAGGATCGTTTATAGCCTTTTCTCACAGCAGCTAGAATAATTAAATGTATCATTTTGATGGCGGATTGTAATCCATAAAGGATTATGTGTTTATGAAACACATGTGAATAAAATTAAATTATATTCCAGTTTTAAATGTGCTTCTGTTTACAGATAGCCTGGGATTACAAAAGATTTGTATTTTAAAGAAAACCAGTTCAAAGGGAGCATAATTTGGGTTAAAAAGAATTTCTTAATATGAAATTCGAATGATATGACAATTAGAGATTAGACTGTACAGAAATTGAAATCTACACACTAATATACACTATATTCACATAGTCACGTAATGCTGATGTGCTTACCATTAACAATTTGAGAGCAAAGTATAACAGTAGTAAAAATTTGCACGGTTTGATGTGATATGAGCTAACCGATCTTTAGATTAAATCACCATTGCTAGCGCGATTTAGGGTGCTTTCACACTTGGTTCGATTGCTTGGTCCGAACCCGAGTTTGATTGCTCCCCCCTCCCCTTGCCCCCGCTGGACTGTGTTCACATTATTTTATTTGGGTCCGAACCGCGGTTCGTTTGCGTCATCAATCCAGCAGCTGTTTACCCCGTTGCTTAGTAACGATGGTGCAGGAGAAGACGGCAAAATGCATAGCAAGGCTCTCTTCAATTTTATATTTATGTTTTTGAACCATTGGTTTTGTTTCCAAAGCTTCAGTACATAATGGCACTTACGTCTGCCTTACGAATGTACTGCAAATGCTCTAAAGAACTCTGAAGGCGAATAGAAATGAGATATACAGCTCTCTACTTGCAGCGCGTCAGTCACGCTCATCAAGAAAG